ATGTATATGTATATGTATATGTACATGTATATGTATATGTATATGTATATGTATATGTATATGTATATGTATATGTCTATGTATATGTATATGTATATGTATATGTATAAATATATGCATTGGGGTATGTATTTGTCTATGCATATGTATATGCGTATATCTACATTGCTATCCAGAAGCTGGTGGCATGCAACCATCCTTGTATTCAGTGTATCCATATGTAAATACGCACATGCATGCAGGCACATATGTATAGGCTTGTATAACTATCTAGGTAGCTCTATGCATGCGCATGAAAATGTACATACGCACGCAGATACACGATACAGAGGTATATACATATATTTATATATATGAAGGCAAGACTGTATATAAAAATATATATTTATACATCTTATATGCGTCGCGCGTATTCACATGCAGCACAGGTTCAGATACACCTGATAACTGATATAACAGAACGCATGCGAGAGGGGCACACAGAGTGAGGCACAGGCCGAGGAGCAGCAGCAGCAGCAGCAGCGACAGTAACACCAACAACGGCAGGGCCAGAAACAACAGCAGGAGTAGCTGCATCTCAAGCAGAGAAAGGGCCGATAGTTTCTTCATGTACTTGCATGGGCGCGTACGGACAGCTCGAGCCCACAGCCTACCAGCTGTCTGGTGCTTGCAGTTGTCTTTTCTGCAATGTTTTGTTAGGGAGTGTGTGCGTGTGTGCGTTGTACTGGGTTTTTGGTTTTCTTACTGTCGGGTTTGAGGTTGACAGCAGTTCCACATTCTTCTTGTGGGCCGATGGCGATGACGGTGAAGTTTTGTTTGTTTCCCATAGTGGGGATGTCCCCTTTCTCTGCGTCACAGTGGTATCCCTCTACACACCGAATGAGCCGCTGCCCCTTCAGGTCCGGTAGGAACCCGTGGCAGTGGCCGCCCACGCATTGGCCGAAGCCCCGCAGACAGTCGCTGTGCTGACGGCACTCCCCTCCCTCAGGGGCCTCTTCCCCCTCCTCCCGTGGCAGATTCGCCGCGCGGTCCTCGATAAACTGCAGCCGCCGTTGCTGAACAGCAGCACTAGATAAATCCTGTTCATGTTGCTGCTGCTGCTGCGGAGCCGAATCCCCTTCATTCTGCGCCTCCCTCACCTTCTCCGTCTGCTGCTCTTCCTGCTGCTCGTCCTGCTGCTGCGGCCGCTGGTGCGGCTGGAGATCTTGTTCGTACGAAACCATCTGAGGCTGTCCAGGTTGGTCGGACTCTGAACGTTTTTGTTGCTGCTCGTGCCCAGCGCCAGCGCGAAGCTGAAGCAAACCGACCGGGGTGGCCCCCAAACACTGAAGGGGAGTGAAGCCTCTCCGACACCCGCACAGAGTCGCAATCGCCTCAGAGGCCTTCCCATCTCCCCTGAAACCTGTTGCTGCCGCTGCTTCCGTTGATCCTTTGGCTCCCGTTGCCCCTGCTGTTCGTGTTGTTGTTGTTGCTTGTGCTGCAGTTTCGGCGCTGGGGAGCAGCAAAGGCCTCATGTCCTCAGGTCGGACGCGGACAACGCAGCGACTGCCGCCGGCGATGGATTTGCAAGGAAGGCGCAGAGGAGTTGAAACCTGAGAATCAACGTCAACCAACCTGCTGCAGCATATCAGACCCTTCAGCGTTACCCACAGCACCCGTTGCAGTAGCAGCAGCAACAGCAGCAGCAATAGCAGCGCCAGCAGCACCAGCAGTTCGAGCAGCAGCCGCAACAGCGTCAGGGTTGGAAACCTGCCTTGGCAGCCTCAAGGCAGCTGGAGTGCAGTCCCGTGAAGGCCCTAACAAAGTGCAGAGTTGAGTCGAGGCCGACCCCCTTGATGCTGGGCAGCTCGCACGGGAGGCCGACGGTGCACACGAAGCGGGGCACTAGCAGCTGTTGCTGCTGGCCGTTAGGAGCGGGAATGGCCTGGAGAGGTTCTGTCTCTTCGATCGTGTCGGATTCTACAACTCCTGCAAGCCTGTTTGCTTCGGGGTCTGTTGCTTCTGCTGCTTCTTCTGTTGCTGCTGCTGCCGTTGTGCCCGCGGGTTCATCAGCAGCAGCTGCTGCTGGCGCTGCAGCAGCGCCAATACCATTGAAGTCAGTAACAGCACGTGCAGCAGCTGGAGGAGCAGCAGGCACAACAGCCGGAGTCTCAAATCCAGTAATCTTGAGAGTCCCAATCGGCACTGAAAAGTCGATGGGGGAGCTGCAGGGTTTGTTTTTGGCCTCCAAATCGGTGCTGCTGCAGCCGCACAGAGTGTAGAGACCAACGGGAAGTTCGGGGGGCACAAGCCCCAGCCTGGCAGTACAGCTGGACTGGGGGGCGATTCCTGAGGTGTATGTACACCTCACGGCCTTCCCCAAAGAGAGGGTTTCTCCTTCCTTCCGAGCATCGTGACCTCTGGTCTGGTCGTGGTGACCAGCTGCCAACAACTCACAAGCCTGGGCGTCTCCGTCTCCACAGGCTGTTTGCTGTGGTGGGGCGAGCGCCCTTGGTAGGCCGCAGTCCCAAGGGTCCCCGCTAATAGCCTGCAGCATGAAGAGGCCCCTGCTGCCTGTGCTGCCTTCCCCGTAGAAGTGCCCGTCTATGGGGCCCAAGCTGCAGAGGGTCTCAACCCCACATTCGAACGCAACTCGCCGGGGGCCTGCAAAGCCCCAGCAGCGGCCCTCAATGCACCGCCGCCCGCGGCCCCAGCACTGCGCATCGGATAGACAGGCATTTAGACTCAGCAGCCCCTTAGTAGTCTCTGAATAAGGTGCAGAAGAGCTCAGAGGGCTCTTGGGCTCAGCACTTTGCAAAGCAGAGCCCACGGGCGAGCTGAAAGAGGTGAAGCGCGGGGATGAGTAGGGCAGCGACTGCGCCAGAGAAGAAGAATAGCTGTTTGCATTCGCTGCTTGTACATTAAGGCACAGCAGAGAGACAGCAGAGGACAGCAGTAAATACAACAAGGCACGTCTGTCCCGCTGGAATCCCATGGGGAGACACCATATCAGGGGCCTCATGATGATACCCACATAGCCATAGCCTGCCTGTACATGCACAGCCACAGCCACGAAACAGCGCTCCACGGAATCACGTATCTACACCCTCCCTCGGGCCCACCGCGAGTGTACAGGAATTCCTTCTAAAGACGGCCAGGCGACGGTGACTGGGTGACGGGACGGGCGATGCAGTTGCCCCGCTCCCTGCTGAGCCAGCAGTCCTTATTTATAGTTGAAGCTGCTGCTGCCTCCTCCAAGTTCCAATGCCTCTGTGCAGTTCTGTACTGGAAGCGCAGACAGGCGTTCGGCTGTCGGCTCCACGCAACGTGGGGGACGCCTTACGCACACAGGGAAGAGCGAGAGGGGGTCCGCCGCATATTTAAAAAGATGCTGGCTACCTGTCGCATGCAGTGCTCACGGCAATACGGTTTGTCGCAGTGGTCCCCAGTGGTGAGCGAGTGAGCCTATCGCGCCGAGACGGCGAAGGCAGATTGCGGAAGCAGAATGCTGCCTAAAGAGCAACGGAAATCTGTCCTACTATTAGAAGTGAAGGAATGAACTGCGGTGGCTAGATTGGCCCGAAAGTAGGTGCTTTGTGTTGCTAGACACCTGAGATAGTTGGGCCCAAGGGATGCAATGGTGCCGACGGGATGCGGGACGCCGCTTAAAATGGAGGCTTCTGTTGAACTTCTGTCAGGAACCCAAAAAAAAATCAAAATGAGGGAAAGTTTCCTTCAAAGGGAGATCCAGCAATTGCGGATGGCGCAGCTCCCCCTCACATCAGAATACAGCCACACACCGGCCACACACCGGCGTGGGGTAACCGACAGACAGGTGGCACGGTGACCTGTGCGGCTTCCCCAGCGTAATTACGCGCATTTGTTTTTCACTCTCCCAACAAAGAGACGCAATTAAAAATAAATGAGTAGATGTTCAACGAGCCCTTGGCAATAATAGCCCAGAACAACTCGTTTCTAACCAACAGCCGAGCCAGTGACTCTGCACGCGCTCTGATTTTTCTGTTCGTTGGGGCCTTCCTTAGGATCTGCACCCTTGCCATGCGGATGCCCATATTTTTCCTGGAGTTCAAGACAGATAGGTGGAGTTTTCTTCGGTCGTTCAACTCCAAATTTGGCGAGAAATTACCTGCCGCCTAGCCTATGCAGAATGCACAGGACTTTAAAAAATACTCGCATTCACGAAAGCCCTACTCAGAAAGATAACCGTTAGTCCAACAACGAAAAATCAACAAGAGCATTCCTTGCACCTGTTGGCTCCCCCACTGATCACTTAATGAATTGGGTCTCAGCAGGTGAAAATTCCTCCAAATATACTGCTGAACGAACTGCACGGATATTTCCGCCTTTTCTGTGCAGAAAAGTACTAATGGATTTTCAAATATCTCTGCTGTGCAGGTTTCCAGATCGGCAACCTGCCTGAACACCTGAAACTGCTGCCACCGACTACGACGGAATTCCGGGGAAGGTGACGGGCATTTTTTGAACATATTGACAAACCTTTTGTTTGAACCTTCATAATCCAAGTGTCACATGAATTCGCAGTTTTTTCCATAAAAGAATGCGGTCTCGTGCAGTACGGGCTCCACGTTTGCTCCCTCACCGATCTGCACGGCAGTTTCGCAAGCTCCAAGCCCCAGAGGCCGAAGCCCTGAAAACTCCTAACGACCTGTACAGTACGCCAACGTCAACAATATGAATCAAATGTAATGTGTGCATTTAACCTCATGCGCAGATCCATGCAAGCGGACCGGCAAGACGGTGATGCAGTCGGAGAGCAAACCAGTAGTGCATCATTTCTACAGCGAGTTTACAAAGCAGAAGACCAAACATAATTTCATCTACAGCGCGGAAAGCAAAGGCGCTCCCGGAAAGGTATTGTCGGTTCAAGTAAGGGGAAAGGCCTCACTGACTTCCGCTATCTTAAATCAAGAAAGGAGCGCAATGACCAACGCAGTCTGCAAGCCGGCAGGCAAGAGCAGCTTTCAGGACCAAGTGGAGGCTAAAAGCTTCCCAAAGTGTATGGAAATGCGTTTTTTCAATCTCCCTATATCCCGTTGCACTTCATATGTGCAGCAAAAGTGGACGAGCAGCACACTGAAGACGCGATAAAAGGCAGGTTTCTATGCAGCTGACGTGTGGAGCCTGCTCGCTCATCCGAAGGTTTTCCGCTCCTCGCAGCGTATAGAGAGTTCCTCTTCAGCCCAGATTCGCCTCGCTGCAGCCGGAGAGCAGCCAAGTTGCAACACAGAAGGAGTCCAAGCGTGAAAGGCAGCGAGGAGGCCTTGGCTACCTTCCGGGCGACTCTTGATGAACAGCCCTCTTCACCTATCTCCCCCCTTGTTGGGCTCTGCCCCTCGAGAGCGTTAGAACAAGAGACCGACGAGACCGTTGAATCCGAGTTTGGCATCTCGTCGCAGCCAGATGTCCCTGGCCCTTGTCATGGTGTTCCTTATGCCGAAGCTTCCATGAAGACGGCGGCGTTAAGGCAGCAGCAGGAGTTGCAGCAGCAACCTGAGTTGGAGGCCTCAGGGTCCCTAGACGGTGCTTACATTCAGGCCAATTCGTCGTGAGTCTGCCCTACCCCCACCCACACGCTGAATAGGGGCTTACTACAGGACCCAGACAGAACTGGAGCCAGTGGTCGCTGTGGCTGCACCAGCCGCAATGCTCCCCGTGCTCCTGGACGCATACAGAAGCTCTGCAGCAAGAGCACGCGAGCGGAGGAGTGTGTAATCCGTCAGTAAGCCCATTTGCCACCCCCTCGCAAACGCAAAGGCCACCACATCGAACTGCAGAATATGGATTACGAGGATGAGGCACCCAACTGCGAGGGGATGCGCCCCCGCCAGCCCACGGATAGCTACTTAATGAACTCCTGGGGCCCCACAGCGGAGGGCCAGGGTGCGCCTCCTGGAGGCTCAAGGCAGTTTGAAGAAGCGAACGCCATTGAAGGTCGACATATGTGCACACAAACCTCTAGAGACCGAAAAATGTGCTCAATATGCGGCGATGCCGCTTCAATGCCTCACATTTTGACCGAAGCAAGCATTTGGACCACTGAGGGACCAGTGGGCCCTGTCCAGGAGGCCGCTGAGGCCCAACTCCCCATATTGCTGCCTCACCAGCAGCATGGAGAGTGGAGGTGGACCCATGCTGACACGTCGCGAGCGATGCCACCCCTCGCGAGTGGAATCGACGGTGTTGCAACGCCACAGGCTCTCTCGTTGCTGAGCCGCTTGCAGGGAGAGGTGCATCACCTCAGGCGGCAGCAGCAACTGCAGCAAGAACAGCAGCAGCAGTGGCAATGGCAGCAGCAGCTGATTCGGCGGCAGTCGGAGGCCACGACGTGGCTCCGTGGAAAACCTCCTGATGGGTATCAGCACGGCGAAGACCTCTGCTCTTCTGCGGCTATTCAACAAGACAGACGACAGGGGGAGTTTAGAAGAAATTGCAACTGAGATTGTATGCAACGCCGTACAAGTTGAGTTTATTCATGGAAGCATGAGCGACGGGTGACTTGAAAAGTGCCTCACGCCGCAGCGGCCGCCGCAGCCGACTGTGTCCCGAAGACCTATGAACCAGATAACGAGGACGGACACAGGGCTCTATGAGCATATTAGCTCTTTCATCTGTGGATATTTTGAAACTTTGCACCAGACGGCAACGCGGCTGCTGCGGCTGTCGTCCGTTGCATTGCGCAGGGCCCACTCGATGTCGCTCATAACGGCAAGCTCTTTTCAAAAGAGTATTCCTTTCCCTCATCAATTAATCTTTTTAGCTTTGAATAGAACTAAGAATTGCTCCTTGGGCAATTCCCATGGCCACCGCGGGCCGTCTAAGGAACAACGTCTGGCCGTGGGGTGCGAGTATCGCTCGCAGGGCTCCCATCGTCCACAACCCGTCACCTGTACTTGCTTCAGAACAGCGAAAATGTAGAATACATAGAGCTCTTCTGGTAGTATGTTTGGAGGCGGAGCGCAAGGAATTTTCTGTTGCGCGGGAGGCTGCTACGCAGGAAAACTCATCGAGGTGACCTCCTGCTTGTCGGTGTCGGCGCGGTGGGCGTTTGCGTTTCCCCAGGTGCCCAGTCAGTAGTCTTCCTTTGTGTTTTTGCTTTTGAGTGTTTTCGGGCATGTCTTGCTGGCGAGGTGACGCCAATGTCAGATCCCGTGATCTCCCGGGCAGTTCTGAATCGGCTGCAGGCCCCAAGCGAGCTCGCCTTCGCGCAGCGCATTTTGGAGCGCGTTGCTTCAGCTGCTGAGCCCCCCGAAGTTGCAACAGCCCTGGCCCATGAGGCCCCTCACTCTCCGGCCAGTCCCGCCTCCTCTCCAGCCCGGGAAGCCTTCCTCGAGGCTGCTGCGCTGTCGAACCCTGGGGCGCGATATGCTCAGGCGAGCGAAGAGCTGGCGCGCTCCTTGCCGGTGCGCCTTAACAAAGACGCTGCTGCAGCAGCGAGGTCTCTTAGGGATTTACGCTGCGAATTCAAACGCTTCAGCGCTCTCTATGCTGACGGCCGGCTGCTGCCGCTGTCCGTGTTCGTCGAGGCCCTGCAACTGCGGCCCTCCGAGGATATCCAAAGGCGCCACTTCCCTTTTAGTGCCGAACTAAAATTCCTTAGGGATGAAATGGTCCAGGAATACCTCCGCATCAAACGTGCAATAGTTCTGCAACCGCGCTTCACCGCAACGCGCGGCTCCAACGCCGGCAGCGAAAGCGCAAACTCCAACAGGGTGACAGCTATCTCCAGATACTCCTGGGAAGCCAAGTTGTGTCAGGTGTCTGCGCACGTTACACACTTGACGCGAAAGCAGTTTCACCCCGCTTGGTAGTACAGACACCGTTTCGATCCGTGGCACCGCCTCTACTAAACTTCACAGCCAAAGTGCCCACTTCTCTGTTTAGAAAGTAATGATACTTCTGCAGCAACACCTGCATCTCGTGCATTCAATTTCACCTCCTGTTTCTGTACTGTTGTGCCATTAACTGCTGCTGTACCTTGCACTTCTACTGTTGCACTTTTTGCTGCTGGAGTGTTTCCCCTGGCTCCTGCGGCTGCAAATAGCACTTGCCACAGTTCGTGCTGCTGCTGCTGATGGTGGGAATTTGTGGGCAGCGGAGCTGCTTAGTTTCTCGCTGGGAGGCCTTCGAACGTCGATGGCTGCAAGAGAAGGAGAGCCACGCGGTGGTAGCGCTGCAGCCGTTGGTGTCGGCTGTTGCGGCTGCTGAGGCAGTGCTGAAGAGCAGCAAGCAGCAGATTGTGCTGCCGGAGCCCTCGGCTTCAAATGAGCAAGTGTGCACCTACGGAGCGTTGCGGGCCTTCTGCAACAGCATAACCGCTGTAGCGCGTGACCTTCTGCCTGTAGAGTCCAGCTGCCTCCTCCTCGAGGCGGCCACTCTTGTGTTCGCTGCCGCCATAGCAGAAGCAGCGGATCGAGCAGCAGCTGAGAGAGCCCTGGAGAGGCGCACTCCTCAGCTGGCTAGCACAGGGTCACCTGCTCCCAACCCTGTGCGTCCTTGCCTCTAGCAGCACAGACAGCAGGCTTTACAGAACCCGATGTCGCTTTGTGTCGCATCTGCTTGTCGCATCTGCTCGCGTTGCTATTTGGCCACCCCACCTTTTTCTCACGCTACTGAGCGGATCTCCCCACAGCCCAGCCCTTCTGTGTGACTCAGCACCTATGAACCCTCTGCTTGCCCACGTGCGTGTGCTAGCTTGTATTTCACGCGGTGGTTTGTCTGGAGGCTACTTGCGTAACTGTCTGTGTGTGGGTGTCGATGTACGGGTCCGGCAGGCCGAATCCTTGGAGGCTCTGCCACCGAGCGTGCAGGCGTCTGGGAGCACATGCACTGCACGCGCAGGGGGCGTATGGGCTGACCTGCACCTAGCGGGCCTAGTTGCAGAGGCCCGCGTGAATGAGGAAGACGTTGTTGTCTACTCTGTCAAGCGGAAGCAAGTGACTGCAGCTCGCGTCCTGCTTTCTCGGTTTTTTGAGTTGCTGCGGCAGGTGTGGGAAGCTCGCCTCTGCCTCACGCACATGGGGCCCCTGCTGTCCCTCAGCCGCCCTGCCCTCATGGAGGCCCTTTTAAGCTTCGACAGGGCCCATGCAGAGTTTCAAAAGCCTTTGCCCGTCTCCCTGCGGCCCCTTAAGGCACCAGAAAACTTCTTCTTCGCTTCGTGTCCCCTCATAGATGAGAAGGGTGAGCAGGACTTGTTGGGGCAGTGACGAGACACCCGCAAACCGCAGCCTGCGATGTGTCGTTGCCACCCCACGCAACGCCCCCAACAACAGCAACCCCACCCCTCCACCCGCCCTTCGTTCCCATCTCCCCCCTCCCCCTTGCCCGCTTCTGAGCTTCCCCCCCCATCCCTTAGACGGCGTAAATTCATCTACAGTAATTAGTAATTAAAGTATTTCGTTTCTTTTTAAACGTTTGACACTAACCTTTCCTGGGCGTCTTAAGACGTGTAATGGCCCTTCTTGCAGGTTGATGCGTAACTCCATACACGATAAATGCAACTCTAAATGAGTCCAGCATCAGCCGCCGCCCCCAGGGCTCGCACCCGCCCCACAGAGCAGCCCCTCACTTTTTTGCCGGGGCTGTAGTTGCTGCCCCCGGCAACAGTTTTATTCAGGGCCCTCAAGAGAATTCGATGTAATACGGCAAGTTAAAACGGCGCCTGAGCTACTATACAGATGCAGGCAGCACTGCCTCGACGCGAGCGCTGCTGGCTGGTCTCTGGACGTGAGGCAGCCACTAAGCTCCTGAGAAAAAAGCGTTCGTGCGAAGCGGCACACGATTAGGAAGGTGAGTAGAGGTGTGCTGTGGGATGTACAGACGTCCCTCTCTGACAGTGGCACCGTTTATATCCGCCACTGCCACAAGCAGCCCAGAAGGGCACGGCACCAACCCGGCCCCGCCCTGGGCGCAAACTCCTGCAGCTTCGCGTGCAGCTCTTCAGCCTCCAACGTTATTTCATCTTCTCCTACGTCTCCGAGGCCAGCTGCATCTAAGAGCGACCGCCAGTCCACAGCCTCTCCCAACTCGTTGCTCAATGTGAGAGGAGATGACCCGAATGCCGCGGATAGCCCCACCTCGCGCCTCCGGAGGCGCTCCTCCTCCGCTGCTCTCCGTTGTTTCTTTATGGCCTCCTGTGTGCTGAGGCACTCAGGTAGACCCTCCTGTGCGTACGCAGAAACACATCCCTGCATGCAGACGGTGAGCATGCACGGTGCTCTAACCGATGGCTAATGGAAGCCCCACGAGTCGCGGCGTGTATGCGAGCAACCCTCAGGTGTTCGCCGATAGTACACAATTCACCGCGCTAACTAGCCAGCAAGCTATATGCTCCCGTAGATTCGTCTCACCTTGAAACGGTCAATCCTGACGCGATCTGCTGCTGAAAACGCCGGCACTGAGGAGTACCTGCCAATAGCCCGCCTGGGTACATCTACTCTTCGCGTTTCCTGTGAAGCTGCTCGGGGAAGGGGTGTCCCTCCAGCGTCTTTCTGCTTTCCAGTTGCTTCTGATGGGCTTATGGGGGACCCAGAAGAGGCAAAGGAGCCTTCCTCACGCTCAGCAGCAGCGGTAGGGCGGCCTCGCTCCAAGCACCGGCTTGAACTCGCAGAGTGTGCTGCTGCGGCGGCTGCTGCGGTTGCTGCGGACCTCTCCTGCTGCCTTCCCTTTCCCTTATCCTTCCCTTCCTGCTGGGATGCACTGTTTTGTAGGGCAGGATGAGGTGTGGGGCTGCTGAGAGCAGGCTCGCTAGTGGCTGCGCAGGTTTCCCTTTCTGCTCCCGCCTCCCTGCTGCCCCCGGTCCTTCTGCCGCTGCTCCTGAGCATGGATGCAGTGTTGTAGCATAGAAGTGTCTTTCTTGCAGCTCTGTTTGGGGCTTCTGTCTGTGCCTTAAGAAGTTCTACATGGGCTCTTGTGGGGGAGGCGCGGGTAGGGGACTCCGCCTGGCTTGCGAGGGCCTCTGACAGGGGAGCCTTGAGAGCAAACGCGTAAGCGGAATAGTCGTTGCTGAGATCTGCAGAGGTATGAGGATGGTCGAGAGACTCTAATGCGTCCTCAAAGGCTTCCGAAGAGCCCCGACGGCTAGCCAAAAAACTGCTGGCGCGCTGCATATGGGCGGCGCGGCAGGAACTGGCATCGCTCCTACTGCATGTTTCCTCATCCGACAGACCTGCGGCGCAAAAATACCACACCATTTGTGTAGCTGTGGCAGCTCACGCTTTAAACTGTCCCCAAAGCAGCAGTTGTGCCCATCAGCCAGTCTCGAGACACTGGGGGACCCCCGAGAGGCTTCCCCCCTACAACGAACTACCAGACAGTAGAATTCCTGCAACGTATTCGACTTGGCAGCACAGCTGACCAAACTATGGTTTCAGTTCCGGCGTGTACCGTGGAGCAGTGGGGGAAAGCAGTTCGCGACGGCATCACAATGCACACGGCAGTACCAGCCAGCCAAAAGAAAAAAAAGTTTACCAAGACGTGTCGAACTCGAAGACGTCAAAGAAGTCTGTAAAGGCACCCCATGCACTGTCTTGTAGGTTGGGTCGCCGCCGATACTCGTAGTGGAGAAGGTGCGCGGCCCCAAGGAAGAGTCGCGCGGGCGCCGTGGCAGGTAGACGGCCGAGGCCGAGTGCTGTAGCATCTCCTCAAAAAGAGGGAGAATGAATAAGACAGTGGAGAAGCAGTGTCAACCAGTTGCTCGCTGTGAAACCACCAGCACAGGTGGACAAGTCGCGAGCCAGTGACTGTTGAGGTCCGCCCTACGGCTATGGCGTCTGGGCTCGAAAAGGCACTGCTTCCCTCAGCAGAATGCAAACGAAACCTACACTTCCTGTGTAATCTATTGTTTCTTCGGCATATAGCGCTCAGAAGCAGGTAACGGGTTTCAATCCAAAGCTGGCCTTCTGCTAGCCCAGTGGATTGCGCGCAGCCGAAACGAACTGCAGGCGTAGACCGTGAAACGAGAGAAAAAGGGCAAGGCGCAGTAAGATCCACAATGGTGAAGCAAACGAAGCCAATGGAAATCTCATGCATGGAACAAAGCCGCAAAAACCAGAACCGGATCGCGCAGCCGACAGTTCGAGTTACCCACTGCAGGCAGCGGGCGAGCCGCCACCGAGTTCAAGTCAAGGGCTTCTTCGTGGTTAAATTACTGAGACAATTTGTGCAACAAGTTGTTGAAAACAGAAAAGAAATGCTAAGGAATCACATTTTATGGGGTTTTGCCACTTATTCTGGGAAAAGTGCCGATCTTCGCTAAGGGATGCGCCGCTCATCGGCGCGGCTAAACCTTCACATCGATGCAGCTAATTGCAAGCAGCGTTGAGAAGCCCTAAGAAACAAGGCGCAGCAGACTTTTATTTTGACAGCTCATCTCCCTCGAGAGGCGAGATCATTAGGAAGGGTTCTTGGGGGGCACGACAAGACAGCACAAGTTGGTAGGAGGCATTGCCTTCATTTCACGGGGGAGGCGAAAAAAAAGTAATGTTTTGGACAATTAAATGCACCACTCATACGGATGGGTTTATCAAGAACGTGGGCATTGCTGGCGGAGCAGAAGCCAAACGTAAAGGAACTCCCTTGGCTTTTCGAGAGGAGCGTTCGGAGGCTATTCAGCTATAGAGCTGTTAAAAAGACCATACAAATGTAGAGCTAAGGAGAGCCAAATAACGCTTTAATTTTGAGTTTCCGATGGTGTGTTTGCTTGATATTACTTTGGGGAGGCATCCACAGGACAGATTAGATGCTCATAACCAACAGTTGTTGCAGGCCTGGGCACGTGGATTGCTTCGAAGACGAAGTGAGCTGAGAAGTTCAGGTTTCCCCCACATTGTCTGTCATGTGGGATGTTTTAGTATGAATTGCTGAACAAATAAAGGGCGTTCGTGAGAACATAGCTCCACGCAATATAGAAAAAAATAGTCCGCACTGTGGACGAAGCCTTCCGCCTTCTGACAAGGGCACGAATACTTGTCATGAGTTGCACGGCGCAAGAGAGCTTCAACTATAGAGTCATTAGCACTTCACAATGGAGAGAGCGACGGGGCCCGCAAGTTACTTCGACAATGTTAGTAATCTCTTTGAGTTCCGCTGCTAAAATGCGTTCCAGTCCGCGCGACCCCCTTTACTTCCCGCTGCTACAATGCCAGCTTTCGTCATTGGGCTTAGCTGCCCGCAGAATGAGCTGGCCAGCGATGAGTTGACTTATTGAGCGGTGGCAAGATTGGGAATCAGGGAATTAGGAAACAGACTGCTAACTTGCTGTGGAGGCCTACAGGCTCAAAAACGTCCCCTGTGCTAAAATTGCAGTAGAGAAATAAAGCTACAGTTGCGCGCCATATGCTTGAGAGTCTGCCGGGACAGCCGGCCACCATGAACTATATGGCTAATTCTGAGGTAGCCTTTTAGCTTAGCGTAGATCGTTCATTTTTGAATTGCTCTTGTCACTATGGGTCTTCAGTATATTGAAATTCACCGAATTTGAAATATTTTGAACGCGATTGTATGGGTCTTCAGTATATTGAAATTCACCGAATTTGGAATATTTTGAACGCGATTGTATACGAGTGTTCGGGTAAACGGTATCCGCTGGACGCATTACTTAGCATGCAAGCAAATTTTCTTTAGTGCTGAGCGTCTACTATGTAGATGCTGACTGGGCGGCAAAATGAGTTGATGATGATGTGGCTTCACGCCTCGATGCCTATGGGGTGAGTCGCTGCATAAGGGGCTGCACGGGAGTGAACTCCTATCTACAAAACCCTGATTGTGGTTAGCGAGAACCTATATACAGAGGGTATATCCTGTGCAATTTGCTTTTCGTTGCTGAGTCTGCCTTCTCTACTGGTTTGTCCACCATCGTGTCCCTCCGGCTGCTCTACAGGAGTTGTGGTTTCTCTGGACTTCTCCTGGAAAGATAGCTCTTGCTACAGCGCCGTCTCCTATGGTACGCCAGCACCGAACACAAGCTAAACAGAAACAAAATATAAGCATGACCAGGGTTGTTGCTTCTTGCTTGTTGCCACTTATTCCCTCAGAGTGATGGCCGACAGTACGTCTACGGCCAGAAGAATTTGGAAGCGTTGACCTACTGCCCACGTGTAAATGGGTAATATTTACATGCATGAGATGGGCTAGATAGAAGCGTATGTTGAACAGAATACGAGGCCGGGCCTGCGTGGTGCTCCTGCAAGGCTCGGCTCGCCGGTGAAGCCGCTACACTTATTTCGGGCGCGAAGGTCTACAATAGTCTCATTTTCCCCCTATTCTTGAATACCTCTCTTCCAGTAAACAAGATCTTTTCCACCATGCCTGCATATCCTGAAGCCACCAGAGGCTATCAAGGCTTTCGGGATCCAGATAGTGACGCATATGTACTGGGCACAGATATGTGCCGGTGTCGCCTTCGCTGGTGTTCTACCTTCGCCTTTGTTCTTGATGCAAAATCCACCAAAGCATTAGTTGAAACTTTCCAAAGCTATTAAGTTCTAAATTCATCGTCTTCCCATAAAGGCGCTGCCGCGTTGAGCGGGCATGCTCGCCCAGCCCCAGGCCCCAGTCATGGGCAGCTCCGCGTTGTTGGCGAGGAGCTCATGCCGACTTACTGATGAAGTGTTAATTAGATGGAATTCTGTCGCAGTTAATCATTCCTCTTCATTTCTTTTCGGAGTTTTTTCTCTAGCCTTTGCAGTGTGTTCCCTTGCGGGCTTACCGGAGTACAGGGCACGGCAGTTCCTTCCATAGGCGTATGCTTGTCGAGAGCACAGCAGCTTCCTTCCAATGATTTTTTTTTGTCTTCTTTTCTCTTATTCGCCTCCAGTGTCCCGCTGAATCTTTAGGGCCACGCGAGGAATGGGTTTGGGGTCGGCCCCTCTCTCTTGCTGCTTTTGTCTTGCCCCAGCTCGCCCATCCCGGGGCCCCCTGCTGCCGCTCCCTCTCCTTGTGGGGCACCTGCTTTCCCGTCTCCCTCTACTGCCGTCCCCCTCTGACTGTCTGGCTTTACATAGCCGGGTTCCTCCGGCCTCTTTTGCCGCCCGCCCTTACTGGCCCCTCCTCTCCCCCGTAAGGCGCAGACAGGAATCTTTGGACCGCTGGCCTGTCCCGTTTTTGCGTGTTCACAGCCGGAAAAGAGACCCTTCTTGGGGTTCTTACTGGACGTTATCGGTTTGTAATGGCAATCTTGGGTCCATTCTTCACCTGGTGCCTCTCGGCATAACCCCTTCCTTGGGGGCTCGTGGGATCTCTTCTTCGGGAGGGCCACCCCCACAACTCATTCCTCTGCGGCGGCGCCTACGCGCCATCAAGCGCCTTGACCCAAAGATTCAGCACCATGTGCTGAGGGAAGGCCTCGGGAGGCCCCGCTGCCACAGGGCACAGCGTCTGTTAAAGATAGGTGTGTGAGAGCTTCGCGGGCCCAGAGCAATTTCTCTCTCCAGCCCCTTGTCTTGCCCTTTGGCGGCCTTTCTGGCATTAATGAATGGCTTTTTGATGGGCTTCTATATCGCACACGTGGAGGGAGACCGGATTTCGTGTGTTTTGTTGTTAGGGGACCCCCACTCGGTCTCGGCACGGTGCCCTTTCTTCTTGCAGCAGCTGAAGCCTCGTCTGCGGCTGTGGAAAAAGGCGCTGACAGTGGAGGAGCTGCCGCCTCCTTTGTATCCGGAGGTAAGCCTGAGCGAGCAGAGACAGGCGGGCAAGACAAAGACTGAGACTGGGGCGGGCTGCAGGGACGAGGGAGAGAAGGCGCTGGCTGTAGAGGGGGTGGTTTTGTCTGTGTGCCCTTGAAGTGTGAGTTGTATGCAATGGGCCTTCCACAGTTGGCGAAGGATAGCCAAGGGCCCGAGGGAGCGTCGGAAGGAGCGTATGGAGGGATGCGTGTTGTGAGCGCTTGAGGAAGGGAGCAACGAGTGAACAACGTGTTACGTTGGTGGGGTTGTGTTTGCGGCAGGTGGCATTTGCGGGCCGCTCGAATGCCGGGAAAAGTACGCTGCTCAATGAACTCTGCGGGCGCAGCGGTACTGCCGCGGTGTCGCGCCGGCCGGGCAGCACCCAAGCGTTGTTTTTCTTCAAGGTGGGCCTTCAGACGTCAAAACCAATGCTGACACTGCCCGCCTGGCTCTCAGCCAGCTCCCCTATCCTAGCGCTGCTGAGGCCGTTGGTCTTTTAAACAGGGAAAGGGCTGGAACGGGTAGACCGGCAGACGTAGCTAGGGGGTCACCATCGAGCTGTGCCGACTGAGAGACACGGAGGAGGAATGCAAAAAACACTGAGAAGGCCACATGCACAGGCAGACAGGAGACTGTTGCATGGAGGGAGTTGTAACATTGCAGACAACAAGAGTAGGTAGGCAGGAAACAGCTTTCTAGGACTGGCGAAAGGACAGGGCCCCGTGCTGTGCATCTCAGGCCGGATCTCCCTGCTGTTTGTGCCTCGTCGACCTTCCGGGATACGGCTACGCTGAGGCGGATGCTGCCAAGAGGTTGCAATGGACAGAAATGTCTCTCTTCTACCTGAAGGCTCGCCCGTGCGCCTACTGCAGAAGCGCAGCGGGTCTCCTTCCTATGTGCAGACACACACTAGATTTCAACACAGTTGGTTGCTGAAAGATTGCAATGGCTCAAGTAGGCCTTGAGGCAGGCGCAAACGCGTGGGTGGGAAAAGCTTGGCTGTTACCAATGAAAAACCCATTTGCAGCTGTTCCTGTTGCTTCTGCTGGGGCTGCCTGTTGTCAGGAATCTGAAGCGAGTCTTCCTCCTCGTCGACGCGCGTTGGGGGCTGAAGGCAAGCGACATTTCTTTGTTGTCTTTCTTCGAGCGGCGCCGTATCCCATTTCAGCTCGTGCTGACAAAGGCCGACCTTCCAGAGCAAAAGGCCCTCATCAAGATTCTCCAGATCGTGTGTTTGCGACAAACCCCGTACCGTGTAGTCTAACAATTGCAGCTCGAAAGCTCCTGCGCTTGCGTTCACGTTTCTCATTCCGTGCCGGACGGAGGCGGCGGCAGCCTAGCTGGGAAGCTCCGTTTGCTTCCTTCTAGGCCCCAAGGCCTGACGACGCGATGGGTGTGACCCATGCGTTAAGCTCTCAAGGACGGATTGCCTTGCTCTGCAGGCTTCAGAAGAGGTCAAGAGGTTCAAAGGATGTGCAGGCGCCCCCTTGGCCGTCAGTGCGCTGCGTCACCGAGGCATGGACTCTCTTCGTGCGGAAATCGACAAGCTGCGCCTGTCAAAGGAACTTGTCATTGGCAGACTCCGCCTCAAGGCAAGCAGAGGGAACAGGGCTGCTCATGGGCTTCTCCCTTCTCTGCGGACCCTACTCTTCCTCTTCTTGTTTGCGTGCTTTTTAACAGAAAGCCCACCTCAGTTCTATGAAAGGCACTTCCGGTTGCAGAGCATTAAGTGCAGTGCTGCAGATACTCGGCGGGCACAGCAGGGCACACAGGTGGGCAGGGGGTTGTTGTGTTTTGCTCGAGCAATACAGGCAGCCAATTTGGCCGAGGCGCGGCGCTTGAAGAAGGAGTCCCGCAAAGTGGAGAAGGATGCGAGCTCTTCGTTGGCAACTGAACAGACGAGGTCAACGAGTACGTTAGCGGTAACCGTTGCAGCAGCCCCTTGGGCACCTCGGGGACAGAGGCAGCAACAAGGGCAAGCCCTAGATGACCCCGTTGCCCGCGCTCTTGAGCGCTGGGGAGCTTCGCTCGCCAGCACGACTAACGGGTCTCTGGATCGGGGACACACCCAGAGGGAAGGTGCCTTGGCTAGTGATGCGTTTTGTGCGGGTGCTGTACCCGAAGACCCCACGGCTGGAGGCGAAGGCCACTCAAAGTGCGGGCAACTCAGGCTCGCGCCCGTCTCTTCTCAGGCTGAAGGCGGAGAAGACTCAGTGGGTGGAGATGCATTCGAGGCGGAAGAGGCCATTAGGGAAGAGAACACGTTGAGCTCTGCGCTCGCCGCCGCTGTGGATAGAGCCGCAGGCGCGTTGCCTTTGCCGGATATGTCTTGCGCTGAAGCCCTCATTGGGGATTTGCTGCCTACTCCTTGCCAGCCTCGGCGTGTGCACGAATCTACGCAGCCACAGCGAGAGCCATCTGCGGACGCTGTGCCTGACAGATACACGAAAGAGATAGGCACCGACTCTAGATCTGCGGGAGAGATCGACACCGACTCCTCTCCCGTGGTTGTACCCGTCCCACATGCCTTGATTTCATGCTCTTTGCGCGAGAAAGGAGTAAGTTCTGGGCCCATTGCAGGGGGCACTGATTCCGCATGGGCCGCTACGGTGTTTCGAGAGGTTCGTTTTGAATCCTCAGGAGCTGTTGCTGACCAAGCCGGGTTGCAGAGCTTCGAATCGCAGGACATGGGTTTCAAGGGCCACACCGACTGCGAAGCCACCTCAGAGGTTCTTGTTCCTTTGGATGAGGCTTCTGCCCTGATGGCGGAGTGGCCGGAACCAGAGGTATCGCATCCGCAGCTGGCTGGAAAGCAGAGCCCCAGCACAGCAGTGCAAGACGACCCCTGGGAGGCTCCAGCTCTGCCTGCCAGCAAGCGACCGCTAGATATCCTTCGTGCCAACGACTGGCGAGCGCGACGTGTTGGTCACGCCGCTGTGGAAGTTGACATGGGGCTTCCTTGGGAGCAAGACGCAGCGGGAAGCGTAGCAACGCTTCACTTGGGATCATGCCGCGGTGATTACAAACGTTACTCACCAATGAAGTTGCAGTCCCTGTCTCAAGCAAGCGAAGTACAATCAGCTGAGGTTGAAGGCGGTCACGGGCCTTTTCCAGACTTGAGTGCTGTTCTCAAAGCCCAGCAGCAGCAGCAACAGCAGCAGCAGCGGAAGTCCAACTCCCGCCTACACAAACACGGTGTCTTCAGGCGGTCCCCATCCAGGGCGCCTTTAGGTGGCGCGGTACTTCTCGATGAAGAAACGCTCGCAGCTGAAGATTTGGGGTGCAGCCGAACGCGGGCGGGAGGCCGCATTGGCAGCGCTCCAGACCCATCGAACTACACAGGATTCCATGAGCTCGATATGCAGCGCAACTTTGACCAGAAATGGCGTCACGAGCTCTTGCCAGTTGGTGCGTCTCGCCAGGTGCCCCTGAGCCCCTCTTGTGTGCTATTCCTCTCTACACGCGATTGCTCTGTCCAAGGGTAGTTAGTGCATTGATGGCGCGTCTCCTCGTCTGCACGTGTCACAGGTGACGCTTCCCAGGCCAGCAAAATCGTTAACAGCGAAGGTGCAGAGCGGCAAGGCGCCGAGGGGAGTGCCCAAAGAAGCAGCGTGGGTAAGCGTCCCAATGGCGTGTCTTCGTCCCCGTGTTACCCATCCCTTTCTTCCCTTTCGTTGAGTTTGGCAATGAGGCTAGTTCGAATATCCGCCGACTCGAACATAGGCTATCTTGGCTGCAGAGCAGCGTCTAGCCTGCTGCAAGGACCTGTTTTGGCGCCATTCAGGATGGTCAAATCCTCGGAGCATTCCTGAGGAGTACATAGGTACTGGGGGAGATCGTGTCAAAGGGACGGCGAAACGCCTGGCCCTTCAGATTCTCCTGCAGCGTGCCCGAGAGGCCCACCGCCCGACAGATAGGTACCAATCATTTGAGGAAAGGAACCGCAGTACTGCGGATTCTCTTTTGTTCTCCGCCGCGCAACGGCGCCAGGAACGCCGACTGAAGGAGCTGGCAAAGAAAAGTAACAAGAGACAAGGCCGTTCAAAGGAAATGACGTGGGACGTTGCCTACAGAAAATGGGCCCGGTGGGCAAGAGCGCATCCAGCGCTCGCCAGGTAAGGACTGTCACATGTCTTCTCGCCCATGCCTGCGACCGTGCAGAATCCCCCATCCCTTCACTTCTGCAAGTGTCATTCGTTTAAAAAGTACTTAATTAGCAGCGCCATGCTGCCGCAAGCGTACTGTTGTTGCTTGCTGCTGAGCATGCTGAGAGGAATGCTGATAGCTTTGGTCGATGCTTATTCGTTCTTCATCTCTGCCTTCCTCACCGTTGCTTAGGGAGGCGCCACGCCCGTCGAAGGTGCAGCTTCTTGCAGCTTTCAGGTAGGCCACAATGGCTGGACACACTAAGCTTAAATATGTGTCGTTCACAGGGAGTGAGGTGTACTGCGCCCGCACATAAGAAGCTATGCGTGCGTGACTAGTCTGCACGTTGCCCGGTTACGACAGGTGAAGCCGGAGGTTTGGCGCTTCATCATAACATTGGCTGGGGTGGCCCTTTCATTTGTGCTGTCTGTGCCATGGCTGATTGTTCGGCAGACAAAAACTTGGCAAAAAAGCGAACAGGCAACGCAAGGAGCTGCAACAGCGAAACCAAGCGGCCCAGACTGCAGTAGCAGGAAGAGGGCATACCCCTCGCCAAAACATTGAGGAAATCCGCAAGGAAGCTCTGGACGCATTGCTGCACGCCCGTCGGTAATATCCGCAGTTTTCTCCTTAGTTTATGTGGCCCTGCAGCCACATCTGGTGCATCTCGTCCTTGCAGCTGTTGCTGCTGTTAGTGCAGATGTCCCATACGCGGGGAGCAAAGCGTGTATCACATGCTTTTTGAAGACTAGCATTGAAAAAAGGCAGTCCTAGAATCTAACCAAAGTCTAGCACCCCGCACTAGATACGCTGAGCAAATGATCATGACCTGGGTTAAACTAAAGGAGCTATTCTCCCGTTTCCTACCAAATAAAAACCTTACAAATTGCAGCATAACTGTACCGTCGCTGTGGATAGAAGCGAGCTAAGCTAGTCCACAAGGCCTAAACCGTGCTGGGGCAACTAAGACTCCTGTCCATCTCTTCCAAGACCCGTATGGTCCCTGTCAAAAGTCCGGAAGTCCGGAGCGGAATTTGTGTTTAGGAACACTGCCCCAAGTCACTACATTGCGCCCCAGGTTAGTCGTCATTCTCGACGGCTCCCAAATAAAGTCATTTGCCGTGTCTACGGTTTCCGTGTCACGCTGCCTGCAGACCAACGGAGCAAAATAGCCCCTGCCAGAGGCGCGAACCAGAATAGCCACAACAGGGTGTCTCTGGCACATTCCCTCGGGGGACGCTGTAGTGTGCGTATACGCACACGCTCTCAAAACACGGGCATCTGGCGTACTTTTCCTACAACCACGACTGAAACAGCTCGAAAGGCACCGCGAGGACACTTGTTTACTCCGACACCGCATCTGCGGAGTCTTTGCGGTGGTTTTCCTTGAAGGAATTTACGATTTCCTTGGATATGAAGACATGCATATCCGACGGCAATTCACCACCTTCCCCACCTGTGATGCGCACTCTGGATATCCAGCAACTTGGTGAGGCGAAGGTTTGCTCGCGTTGGTCGAAGTTACCCGTTACGTCCTCACCATTGAAAACGATGTGGCCCTGATCGCCATACTTGGACATGAGCAAGACCATCTGACCCCCCTGCTGATTCAGTTGCTCTTTACCAACAAGTGTGGCAGTCTCCCCACTTGGCAGAGTTACCTGCACAGAGTTGCTGCCAAAGTTCACATCAATCTTGAGGCAGTCGACAAGCTCGACACCAAAACTTGACGGTGCTGAGGGGCTTGAAACCTTGATTGATCCATTTACAGGCCACATCACCGCATTCTTTTCAAGCGCAGCATCTGCGGAGGACAGGAAGACTGCCAGAATGGCAGAAATCGCCCCGAAGCTTCTCATGGTCAGCGAAGGATTGTGTGCGCGTACTGGCGGCGAGCGGCGGCGCCTTCTTTGGAACCAGGAACTCTGGATTCACGGCGAGTATTCACTGCCAACTGAATGAAGAAAAATTACACTGATGGTTCACTGAAATGAAATAATGCAAGGAAGGAACGTTGCGAGGATTGCGGGAGCCCCCACCCGACTGGTCACGCAGGTGGCTTCGCTCACCAGGCTTTCTGATGAAGAATGCTTGTCAAAGCGTGAAGATAATCCAAAAAAACACTGCTTAAGAACTAATGAAAAGTCAGGGAGACCGTGGGCACATGAGAGCTTGATTTCTTTCGACTTCCGCACGCGCACCTGGGCGCGTGCGGTTGTAGCTAGCGCTAGTCCGGGACCATGCGAGTGCTCCAGATGCGCAGCATAGCAACTAGGCACATTAAGAAAGGTATATTTGGCATCATTTTGCTTAGGATTTTGCAAGAATGTTAGTGCTTATGTGCTGAGGTTGTGTTTTAATTAATTAGCCTGTAGGTGGTCGATGATCTCGACTCCTGCCCAAAGCAAAGCGGCACACAATCCTTAAGAAAAGCTGCATGCACAGCTGGTACTATGTTTGCTCTAACCCAAGTATGCATATTTGTATGTGCTGCAACGCTACAAACCCAAAAAGAAGATCCCTTCAATTTGCTCTGAAGCTTAATCCGTCCTAGCTTGACTGAGTGTAACGCACCACTGTAACGCACCACTCCTTTCTACCTCGTACGCTGGTGAGGTGTGATTATGCTCGAAGTCCAGTGAATCAATATGCACGCCAAGTTGTAAGGCAATAATTTTACAGAGTTCGTACCTGAGAATATGCAACTTCATGCGGCGTGTACCGTGGACCCTCTGAAGCGGGTACCAGTGTTTCGCACACGGGCTGGCTTCTGAGGAGCAAATGAGTGCATTAATACTACTTTTTTGGGGTGGAACATCAGCAGGAGGCCTCGATGTGCTTACTTGTGGAGTTAACTTGCAGCGGGATTTGCAGCAACGAGTCCTGCAACTCCGGACAGCCCGCGTCCTGCCCCACCAGCCACAGCTCCTTATACCACTGCGCCCAGCGCCCCTGATGCCTGGAAGGGAGGTTATATATGTTTGGGAGAACTCTTCCCAAATATTCTGGCATTACCGCAACTCACGACAGTCCTCGGCTAAGATTTTCCACTCGTTCCGCTTGACTGCGCCGCATGCTGCAAAAGGACATACACGAGCTACGGGCCCCATCCGAATGGCGAAGCGGACTGCAATTTAGCGCTGATTAATTGCGTGTTACGGAGGGCTTTCTCCGGGAAATGCATGTATTGATACCCTCCCAACACGGTCTGAAATTGATCCAGCCTTTCCCCGTCTACAATAATGGAGATTGATCTGTAGTTGCCCTCCAGCGGGGAGCAGATCAACGGGTAAGAGTAATATCGCACTGAGATCTTTCATATCATCCATCAGAGAGCCGAAATTGCTTTTTCAGTGGGAAATAATCATATAGATGCCTTAGCCGAGGAGCCAAGAAGGTATTCCTCGTTCCTCTTGGAACGCGTGTTCAAAACAAAGTTGAAGGTTCAAAGTGGACGATGGAGAACCCAGCTGTCTAATATTTGCTGGAGCCGTTGCAAAAAAACGTGTTTGTGAGGTCAGTGAGAGCACATCTGCTAGATTACGCACCCTCATCATCTACTGCTGGCGTCTACGTATCGGCTCGGAGGGGTCGCAACCGTTGGGAAGGCGTGCCGCATTGTCTGCTTCAACTTGTCAATTAGGGTAGCCTCTTGTGCGATGGAATAATATTCATCCACTGAAGCAAACCCTTTAGGAATGCACCCTTCGAGCAGCTAGCAACTCATTCCACTTACTTCGGTAGCCTATGCTCCCGTACTGGAAATAAACCTGCCAGTGGCAGGGGAATTACGTGTGCAGTGAACTACGGAAGCTCTCTTTGCACGTGGATTTTGCTTAGCCCCCCTGCTAGTATTGCTTTTCTTCGTACACTCGTTCCGCTCCTCCGATGGAGGATGCAAACGATGCTGGGACAGCTGAGAGGTTCACTCTCACTGCTCCCCGGCACATAGATAGTGGTGTCGCTTGGAGGCTGGATGCTCTCCATCCCGCCACTCACACACGGCATGCCTAAGATTATGCCATGTTAGACTGGTCCAACAGAAAAGTCCCGTATCATGGAATATGGTTCGTGCTTGAGTTGAGCTCACATTTTCTGAATGGTTTTGCCGATTTTCGTGCTCTGTCTGCCATGGGCAAAACGTGCACAGAGTGCTCCAATGAATGGACAGCTAGACTGCACCTCCTATCCGCAGCTTCAGATACCAGGTAAACAATTGCAAAAGCACTTTCTTGCTCTTTATTAGCCAACGTGCCTACAACTGTGGACCTGATACACTCCGCAGCGAGCTGAACAGTAGGAGCAATTTAGTTTCCACTGAATTGCGGAGAGGCATCTCGCCAGAAGCGAATGAGTGTTAGCATTCACGAAACCATTCTCGACACGGGAATGGGAGGAGGTTAAAGCGGGTCCGAGCATGAGAGGGAGGTCCTTGAAACATTCTTTGGTGGGAAAACGCTCTTTCTCAAGGTGATAACTAGGATTTTCCTTTTTCATGCTTGATCTGTTGTTTGTGCTAGCAACAACTCTTCTAGTAGTATGAAATTGCGAAAATCTGAGGCCCGTCCCACAGTGCCTTGCTTTCGGATGAATGAACGGCACTCCAAGGGATCTGAACTCTGCCCTTAGACAAGGTACTACGGTTCAAAAGCGCGCAAGCTAGGTTAAATACATGCTGACTATAGAAGCATTATCTCAAGTGGAGGGCCTCTCCTGGCAGTTGAATGACCTGCTTCCCGGAGACAGAAGTCGAATTCGACGAATAACTTCCCAAACGGAATATAAAAGGTGCAGTAAGGAGCTAAACTGCAGGCTATGCGTATGAATTTAGTTACTTGCATGAGCAGAGTAAGGTAGCTGCGCGCCACGCAAAGGGATTGTCGAGCGGAAAACCAACGCAAATATTTGTGAATTCTGGCGCGTCCGTTGACTTAGGCAGCCCTTGATGCCTGTTCAAAGTCTGGTGTTTGGGTAATGATGAACCTAAATAGCGCCTAGGAACGGCCACAGCGTGCAGGCACCTTCCAGTGGTTTCCTCCCCTTTACTGTAGTTATATCGCTAATGCAATGACCAGTATGATTTATACACACCGAACATCCGCCTTCAACTTCTTCATTTGACATTACAACACACAACAGAAATCCGCCAAAATCGTAGGGATTCTCGTGAAAAATCAAGTATCGAGGTTTCCACCTTGAGGGATTGGTGTTGACTGCAACGCCAAGCAAGTTTCCCGTTGCTACTGACCCCTCAACGGGCAACATGCTTGGCGTTGCAGTCAACAGTGGAACTATTGCAAGAAGGTGGTAGGCACAGCGTACGATGGAGAGAATAGTCAACCAAGGAAGCCACTGGATCTCAAAGGGCAGCTATCTCGCGTTACGTAAGAGTTTCCTAGTTTCCACTTAGGCGAACTGGGGACGTGTTGAGGAGGTTGATTCGGCAAGAGTGGAACGAACTAGTGAGGGCATGCCCAGTAGAGTACTGAAAACGGTGGAGGAACAACTACGGCACCTGCAAAGGTGCCCAAATAGCCTCTTGAAACCCAAACCTAAATAAACACCGCTGCAAGGTGTAGTGCCCTCCAGCGCCGAGAGTTGCAGAGGCATCATTATGACCCAAATTGCTGCAGCCAGCCAGACTGCAAACTGAAGACACACCATCTAGGGACAAGTTTTTGTACAGAAGAAAACCATCCGTGAATAGTGATTGATCTTGCAGGCAAGCCTTCCAGCGCACAACAATTGACTGCGGCTGTACTCTGTTGAGCACTAGTTTCAGGTTGTCTCCCACCATCGCCTGCATTGGCGGAAAGGCCATTCTGAAGTACGACATAAACACAGTTTAGCCCATCGCACAAGCCTTCTGATACGTCAGCCTACTCGATCTTCGGCGCCTCACCCACGGCACATCGAACTATTTAAGCGTATCCCAGGTGCATGGATAGTTGTGGGGGGTTCGATTCAGTTAACACTGGAGGCACGCACGTACGCGTGATGTAGCGGGAGAGTAGTATTGAGTAGCAGAGAGCCGTCAACGGGGCCGCAACCCGCCTGACGCCCGAAGCAAATACACAGAAAGAGAAAATCTCATCTGCATGCACTAATTGGAGTGAGCTGAACTGCAATAAACCTCCTGTCCCACTACCACCAACCCATCCCCGTGGTGCCCAGACGATAGATGCTGATGCAGGAGTTGAAGCCAAAGCCGTTTCAAGCTCAGAAACCACTCTTGCAGCTGCATAATAGCATCTCTTCACGCCTAAACCCGCTTCTCAGAGTACCTAATTTCGGCGTGCCTAAAGTGCCTCCTGGCTTTACTGTAGTGAACAGCGCTCTCAGCTGCCACTACTTTTTATGTACACATACCTATTTAGGTGCGAACCCGATATACATGCTACACTCAGCGCACAACCCTTAATTAAAATAACCTTAAAGTATCAAAGAACAGTCTCTCACTCATACCCCGGGTCCAATCCTCCCAAAGGAGTAAGTATAATAACAATAATCCGCATGCTGACCCGTTGCGGGTCCACGACTCGGCTACACTGCCAGTCTCACAGCCAGCCCCAGAGCACTCTTGGTCTGATAGCGGTATGTGCTGTGTAATGTGGCTTGGTTTACTCCTAATAATGTATTGTTTGTGCTCTCTCTGCTGGGGAGGCCTCTAGAGTTCCAATTTGAGTACACTTGTAGTGCCTGCGCACTACACGGCCGCCGTGTGCGTCTTCGACGCCAGAGTCGCCTTGCTTACCGCATTTAGTGCTTTTCCCGTTGAAATCGCCCATAATTTCGCTCTTGACATCGTTTTCTGCCATATAATATCAGGAGCCTAGCTCCTTCTAGTGGCCGGTGCACCCCCGCGGAAGCAAAAGATAGCTTTCGCCAGAGTGGGAGCAGCAGGGGTTTCGCCGGAACAAGGGTTTCGTCATATGGTTCGCTCATATGCACAGCACCAACTTAGAGTCACTGGTAAAGTAACCAATGCAGGACTGTCTGTGTGGCTTTGCCGTGCAGACGAGCCAGCAAGACGCACCTTAATGCCTCCCCTATTGGGGGCAGCCGCCCAGGCCTTCGTGCCTTGGCAAACGCTTCATGAGGCGAGCCGAGGGCGACTTGATTATTCGTAAATCCAGTTAAATCAGTCGACACCCGTTGGCCGGAACTAGTTTGCTGCGTTAAATTGCTCCCGAGTCATTTGAACGTGAGTGCCGTTCTCCACCAACGAGTATCAGAGCTACCCGTATACAGCAGACAGCCCAACATGACACTGCCCTGGCATCGATAATGCGCCGCCCATCACCCCGCATGGAAGGAGTTGGCTTCCGAGTGGTTTCAAAGCGCCGGCTACCAGATGGCAGCGCCTGGCTGAATCAGTATCGCGTCTGCGAGAAGTTAGCGAGCAGTGAGGAAAATTCTGTCTAGATTTGCAAGCTAGCAAACATTGGGGTTGGGGCGGCATGCAACAACTAGTTGATGCGGAAGTTCGCGGCTAGTGTTTCACCGCTCTTTCTAGCAAGCCGTCCCGCAGCTGGCTCGCAGGCATGTGCGCGCATGAGATACCGAAGAAGCAGTCTTTTGTTCCTTCACTATCTCATGCGGGAGTTGCTGCTGTGTGCTTGTGAAAAAGTCAGTTGCCTCTTGGACGACTTTGAAGATTCTTTGGCATTGGGTACCGAGGGGCATGCCAGTTCCTCAGTTCCTGGAGGTGTATGATTCGGCAGGATTCTAGGGAAGAAATGCGGAGTGATTGCGTTGTATTCTCAGCTGAACTTTCCAGCGTCTTTCGAGTAGAGGAGACAAACCCTTCCACTGGGGTTGTCACAAGCTTTTGCTGCAAACGATACCGGAAGATATTACTCTTGAGGCGAAGGGAATATCGCCCGGGCCCAACTGGGATGGGCTTTATGACCAAATTGGAAGATGTGAAGGAAGAAGCCCGCATATTGGCGCTTCTAGATCATCCGCGCTGTCTGAAGCTGAAGGAGATCCTTGATTCAAATCCGGACTCAGCGGATGGCAAAGTCTATTTCAGTCAGCATCAGCTAGTCCCACCTTTGATCCGTATCCTTTGGGATTCCCCACACAAATCTTCGAAATGCTAACTCTGCTTGCTGCTGTGGCAATCAGCCGTTGAGGTCATGCAGCTTTTCCCTTAGACTATCGGCTTTTCTGACGGGCGTTTTTTGAGTCCGTTGCCATTCCTGCTGTGCTTATGCCTGTTCAGTCACAAGTTTTATGCCAGGGGGGGCGCTGATGATCCTTAAGAACTTCCGAGACGATGATTTCAAGCGAAAGTGCCTGCTGCAATGTGACGTGTCAGCCTCGTTGCCAGCGGAAGCCACTCAAGATACAGTACGAGAGAAATTCGTTCCACAGCTGAAAACAATGAGGACTTTTACTGAAGCCCAAGCTAAATGCTTTATTCGTGATGCTGCCGAAGGCTTAGCATATTGTGAGAAGCTCGCTAGGCCATCGCTAGTGTCGTTGAGCTCTTGAGCATAAGCGCCATCTTTCCCCCGGCGTCGAGATCTAGAGCGCAACCAGTGCTTAGCTATTCTCTTCTGCCAGGAAGTTCTATGCTCAGCCTGTGCAGAGTCTTCTCACGGCTGCACCTTAGTTCTTGCCCGAGTGGTGTTTGGATGGGGTTTTGCGGCGTGGTGCAGTGCACGAGGACCTTGGAGTTTGCCACAGGGACCTCAAAGTTGACAACCTCCTCCTGGGCGCTGACGGCCGAGTCTGTTTGGGGGATTTTGGAAGCGCGGAGAAAATGAGCGCAAATGGCAAGGTTAGATACACAAAGGTACGGGTTACTGCGCATTGTACGGCACTCGGGTTGTATTCAGCAGTTTTTTGCAACTCTGAGAGCTCGCGCTGCATGCCCTGACGTGTGTTATTTCCTAATTCCGTTCCATCGCTGTGTGATTCCCCCACATCCTTAGCACCAGATGCATCGCTTTGAGCGAGGAAACGTGGTTTGTCTGGGTGCTAGTTGCGCTCTTGTCCCTTTTGTTTATTGTTGTTATTAACCCAGAAGTTGCTGGTGTCATTTGGGGCCGAGCGACGGCCAGCTTGTTTAGTGGCTTTCAGTGTAGTGCTTGTCATATCTGGTTTTTTTTGGCGGTTCCAACGCAGGGTACGTACATGTTCATGGCTCCTGAGTGCCTCCGCCCGGTAGAAGAGTCCAAATCATACGAAGGGCACGATGGTCGCGCTGCCGATGCCTGGGCGCTGGGGATCTGCGCTTATGTACGCACTGCCACTCATAATCAAGCAGCGCATAAAAAGGCCCAAAAAGTAGCAAGAAAGTTTCTAGATGACTCTGAAATACGAAAAATGGACGACATCACAGTTATAGCGCTGGCATTGAATCCAGTTACCCATTAGGCTTCACAATGCGGTGCTGACAGCCTCGCGTCGGCACGTTAGTGACGAAATTGCAGTAATGTCAGCGGGCAACTCATTCCATTGATTCTTACTTGGTTTCTTACTTATTCCGTGGGGCGCTGTGTAGGTGATGGTATTCGGGACTGTCCCATTTCGCGCGAACTCAATAGAAGGCCTATTTGAGGCTATCGGGGAGGGAATAGTTAAAATTCCTGACAATCCGCCCATATCCCCAGAGCTGCGGGATTTCTTCCGGCGGGTGCTTCATTCAGAGTGGCAGGACCGTATATCTGTACGCCAAATCCTGGTAAGGCTTTGAAAAGCCGTGTACTTATCATCTGGCGACTGTTTGCTGCTCCACATAAGTAATACGGGAGACAGTCGAATGTGGCGCTTTTTTTGCACTGCGCAGGACCATCCGTGGCTAACATCAGCAAACGAAGCAGACGCTGTCGCGTACGCCCAGACGCTTCTTCAGCAACGGGCTGTCGCCAGCAGCTAGCCGAGCACTACAGCAGCACAGCACCAAAGGTTGGAGTTCTTCGCATGATGCATTTTGTTACTACATGATGAATTTGAAGCTTTTTTCTCTGGAGCACGCACGGGCTAGTAGCTGACAGCTCAAAACTTTCGAAACAACGCAATGCTGGTTTTGCTTAGTTCGCCGCCTATTAAGAATCTATTATGGACAACGCACGTGATAGACACCAGTAGTTCGCTGCTCCGACCTGCTTGAGAGGACCGCTGCGAAATATTACCTGGATTAGAGGGCAACGCGTTTACCGCGTTGCGGACAGCGTCTGATAAGGCACCCTAATCATTGTCGGCGTGTGTGGCTTGGCCGTGGGCTGTCACTGCTTGTGGGAAGGGCTGCTGCAGTGCCCCTCTCAACTTGTAAAATGCTTGAGCTTCTTCCCAAGAATAGAATTTTGTACAGTGGAGTAGCGTCGATCTATTTAAGTCAGCCGCTTAGAACTACACTTTTGGATTAGCGAGGCTCCCATTTTTCTTACTTTGATAACTACGACGCCCCGGCTGGAAGTAGTATGACTGTGGCGGGGAAGATTACGTGTGCATCGTTCCAAAGGAGCTATCACCACACATGACTGTTCCATAGCCTTCTTGTCTCTATCCCTGTTCCCTTTGGAACCAAACAGAAACACAGATGCGCCGATGGCTTGAGCTGGCCTTTTCCTCTATGCGGGGAGGCTGGCCTACACGCTTATTTAGTTCTCGTTATCTCTATAGCGCGCATCCTTTGCGCTGCATCAGTCTTACGGGAAGCCTCTGCAGTTCTCTTGCTCTGTTCGCTCTGCATCTTCGCAGTGCGTCCTTGGTTGAATTTCCTCCTATTGCCGAAAGCTGCCCCATCGGTCGCACGTAGCATAGAGTCCATTGCGAAGCGCGTATAACTAGAGAACCAGAAACATACATAAAATGCAACACAGAATGGGGATAGGCGGTGCATTGAAAGCCCGACTCCCTCGTGTATGTCGCGTAACCCGTAGCCATGAACATTGCTTGTGAACGCCAGAAAATGCCTTCTAATCCTTCTTTAAACATCTATGGTAGCCAAATGTGCATGGTGGCTCGTCTTCTCGCTAGGGCGGAAGGAAGTGAGGTTTGTGGCACCGGCAGGTGTTGGCCACAGAGTATAGCACGAGGAGAGTAGTTACTGGCGCTTCTGCTTGATGTGTTGCTTGCGTAAAGGTGAATAGAACATGATCGTTCTATGAGCCCGGAAAGCCGGCGTTGTTTGGGTACGGATGTTTCGCTGCTTATGTTACCGTGAACTCCTTGGTGTAGTGCGAATACTCTATTGCCCACCTAGAATGCTCTTTCTTGCTGTTATTGGCGGCAGGCATATCAGTGATTGTGAAGTCTCTCTCCTTACAAAGAGCTGGAGCACAGGTCCACAGTGAGGATCCGGAAAAGGCGAAGAGCGACAGCAGAAACCCTTCTACTGAGTATTTGGTATATTTGAAAACTGAAGCTGGGGGGAAGCCTTCTAGCAGGCACAAGCAGGCACCCTAGTTCCATCGTCAAACAGTAACAAAACAAAGTACTGTCCCTTTGTACGAGGCCTCGGGGTATCAGTGTGCTCTCCTACAGCACCAATTAACCTCAGACTTGTAAGAAAAACTGTACTCACCCACTGCGGTGCCCTCAGACGCGTCAACAGGTCGTCTGTGGACCTGACAGCCATATATGTATGGCGGTCAGCAACGTGCAAAATTAAGTCAGAGCCTCCCGTTCTTTCAGATAATGGCTGCAAAGCGGCGTGGGAGGCCACTACAATTCTGCTGAAGACGCTACCACTGCTAATAACTGTCGCGTAACTCTACGGAGAAGGACTAGCCCGTGTTACCTTCACAGCCGTCCCATATGCGGTGTATTCAACATGCATGCTTTGGAGGCCAGAGGTTACCAGTCGCACACTCACGACCCCGTTGGCACCAGCAGCAGCGGCTGCTTCAGCGAGCCTCCGCAGTGCAGAAATACGCGTTTCTTTCAGCAGCTCGTGCAGTAGCTGTTGTTCACCACCGAGCTGCTGCTGTAGCTGCTGCTTCCAAATTTCCAATACGCTCCGTCCACGAACAGCTGACCCTTCAACCAAGCCTGCAAAGCCAGGTGCACGCATTTTCTGACGAAGTTTGCCCTCATGGGAGGAGTTCGAGATTAGGAGATGCTGCTACAGAAAGTCCTTGGGGGCTGCGCCGTCCTCAGCCAAATCTCTTTGTTGGCTGGATTGCAGCATTTAATCGCCTACTCTCAGCAATACATTACACCCCTCGGTGAATGTCACGCACTGAAGCCATGTGAAACAAGCAAGACATAATGAAGAGCTTAGTCGCCATACCTTTGTAGTGAATAGTGGAATGGCCAGGAATTACCGGAGATGTCGAAAGGTATATTTCACTTCCGTCAACCACAAAGCGCTGAGGCAGGGATGGCTTGCTGGATTCTTCCTCTACGCTCCTCCCCGCTACAGCTTGAGCCGCCTCTAGCCACTTGTTGCGTGACTCACGACGCTCCTGGTCGGCGGCGGAGAAAATATGCATGGGTGTGTCGGCGGTAGAAGGACGAGATGGTTGTCCGTGGTCCGTCCCCGGTACGTTCCTTCCTAGTAGCTGACGCTGCAAGAGAGTTGCAGGAAAAGCGTCATTATGGTGAGAGAAGAGTGAACTCGCAATCTTATCTTGGTAGGACGCAGCGACAGGTCTTTCGCAATTTGAGCCTGACTGTCCTACCCATCCGAGTCTGCCGAGAAAGCAGCGCGCCTTCTCTACGGAGGAGCTATGTAATTTTGGCATTTGCGCCGGCTTTGTCACGGACGAGATTATTAGTCGCTGCATTTGCATTCAGGAGCCTTCAGCTTCGGCCATCGATATAAAAACCCACCAGGGCTTAAATGCCAAGAAGGAAGTGGACTGGGACGCTAGCCAGCGCTGTAGTGGAAGTAGTATAGGTCAAAGAAGCATATGTAGTGGGGATCCAGGCGAATCTAGCTATACTTCACAGGAAAGGCAATTGCATGAGGCCCAGATGAGCGCAAGAACAACAAAGCGGCGTCAGCTTAAGTTCATTAGGTACTGGCTATAACCTTCCCTAGATCGAAGAAAGCATTGCAATTGTTAAAAACAAAAGAAACGCAACGTTTGAGAACTAGTTAGGAGATCTATCCGTCTCGAAACTGGTTTTGCTCCTCGCAGCTACCGTCCCTGCGCAGACAAGCCCCAACGTGCAAACCTTCAACTATATGGGAAACTTGATTTATTGTTGAGGCAAGCATACTTACTTGGTTCATCTAAAACATATTTTTCGGAAGAAAGTCTGGTTTCATGCTGTCGTACAGTTTCCCCACAGGCGACGCTGGTACCTCTGGCGCTGTTGGTGGGTGTCTGGTACTGTCGGCGTTTAGTTCCAATGACCTCTCAAGTTTCGAGGAACGGACTATATACTGGATATGCGTTCTTCTGTAAATAATGTATGGGTTGGGGAGCCTGGGTTACAGCGTTATCGGCTTCATCGAGTTGAGGTACTTGGAGCATGTTCTGTGTTAGATAATCAGTGTAACATGCTCTATCTGAAGTTGGAACTTGTATCTCTAGTTGAATCCGCCCTGAGTTCGAGGGTCAACGTGAATATTCAACAGTTGTTTAAAGCCTTAGCGTCTTCATAAAAAACGGGGTTGGGTGCACTCGCACCGTGGTTCGACCTCGCGCCGGAGCTGCACGAAGGTGCGTTGCAGCTCATGACGGATTACATCTTTTGGGCAGCACCCGCGAACCTTCGTCCCGTTGTGCCCAAGACGCCTGGAGAGTGGTGAGTGGGCCCGCTGCCTTTCGGGTGTTCTTTAAGGATGTTCGTGTCAATTGGTGGCACTGCACTACTTCAAACCCCTGAATAAAGTAGAGGAAAGAAAAAAGCTTACGACGCCCCTAATTGACGAATTGCTCGGCTACCTGAAGGGATCAGCAATCTATCCGTTTGTCTTCGTTGACGTTGGGGCAATCAATGAGGGTATGTAGTATGCTCTCAGGTTGCCACTTGCATTTCTACTTGCGTGCAGGCTACTTATTGATGGCTACTTATGTGTTCAACAGTTGTGTACAGTGCTAGGATACGCAGAAAAGGTGGCCTGGTTATGGTTGCATGTTGAGTCGCCATCAAAAAAGGGGTGAGCTCCAACTGTTGAAAGGCAGCCTCGTTTTCGCACGTAGCAAGGTCCCGAAATATTAGCTAGTCATCGTGGTAAACTGCAATGGATAAGAGTTCCCAAAAACCAGCATACTTCCACTCCTGGCACTAGCCATCCTTGTCACAGTGGCCTAAGGTCCTGGGGCTGGTGCGGAGACTAGGCGGGGACGAGAAGAGCCTGGCATGAGTTGCAATCCACCGTGCTGTAGCCAATGTTGCAAGGCAACCCCACAAACCCACATGCTGTCACAGACACACCAGGGAGTGTGTTCCTGGGGAGAGAATGGCGGCAGATACAGCATGGTCTGCTTGAGGTTGGAACGTGCATTTCAACTTGCACTCAGGCGCGCCGGCTAGCAACATTTGCTGTGAGTTCCCAAGAAGCAGCATGCTACTCGTCCCGTCGCCAGGCATCATTGGCGCAGGGTCCCAAGGGCCTCGAACTTGTGAATGCACAAAGAGTGCGACCAAACGTTAAACGCTTACTTGGCGCTCCATAACTAGCCTGCGCGCAAGTGAAGTGCTGCAGACAGAGATTGATTGACTAATGACTCCTGGAGACTGGGGATGGATTTTAAATGTTTCTTAAAACCTCTTTTTCTGAAGTATTCTGACTCTATTGCAACTCAGGACATTTCTTATGTAAGGCCGAGGACCCTCGGTATAGTATCGCCTGATGCTTGATGCCGTCATCTGCTAGCACACCTGCACTATGTATAGTTTGAGGTCATGCGGAAGTATCTATTTCTTCTGTCATATTAACAAATCAATTATTGAGTAGTTAACTCTCTTGCACCATAT